ATCGTAAACAGCTAAATTATATGCTTCAAGAGTATATTATGTATTAATTTAACAAACGTTTACTGAGTAGCTATCATGAGCTGGCATAGTGCCAAATAACAGAGACAGGGTGGGACAAACACATAGTCCCTGCACTTGTAGGATTTGGGAAGCAGACATTTTAACAAATTGGATGTACACAGTATTATTTTTTGCCCAGTGAACATAATAGCCAAACAGAGAGATGATTCAATGTTAGTACGTTAATTCAAAAGTATCACAGGCAGATCAGCTCAAGATCAGTGATTGAGTATTACTTCAGTTATCCCTTCCTGCCCCAAATCCCTGAAAGAAATAGTAGAGATATATATTTTTTAAATCCATTATGAATCTGAAATAGTTGATGGGATCCCCCCATAGAGAACTAGAGTATCCCTGAAAAACAAACAGCAGACAGGATTGGAATTGACGTTGAAACCACAGCCTAAAGAGTGGGCAAGAACAGACTGCTGGAGGAGGTGGGTGTGTTCTGGGAACGTTCCAAGCTTAACAGCTGTGAATACAGGGAGCAGAAGGGGATGCTGGGCAACAGACATGGTAGTCATTTGGAAGGCTATCATTCAGGCATACAATCTCCTTCCACCTTCTCCTTGCATCCTGCCCTCCCAATATCCTCCTTACTAAATAGCAAGCAGCAAGGGAACATACCACCCCAACAGAGCAAGGAGTGTGCTTTATAGACCAGAGAGATAAGATGGTGCCCTGGGTGTCTGGCAATACCCAGGAAGAGCAGGGAGCCTTATAGTCAAAAGACTGGCTATTGGCACATCCAACGGACCACGTATCTCTGGCCGCTTCCCCACAATTACTGAAGTCTGACTGTAGTAATAGGTATTACTTTCACAGAGGGCCGTCCAAGAGTCAGTAGTGCAAAATTTCCAGAACTCACTGCCAAGACTCACCAAACGTTTAGGAAAATCAGCACCACAAGAGAAACAAACAAACAAAAAACCCTGCAATATCCAAGGCCACAATTAATAATATAATCAAAACAAAACTTTGGAGAAACTATAATTGAATCCTCAGGAAGATTATGTAAAACAAGTTATTGAGGACATTTTTAAAGCACTTGGAAATCCAAATTTTGAAATTCTAAATAAATAAGCAAACAAATAAATACAGGCAAAGGTAAGGCAGTGTCCCTATAGAATAATGTAATAGCTATTCAGATATCACACCATCAACCAGAAGAAAAAAATAAAGGGGACCTGCTTCATAAAAAAACCAAAACTAAATAAATAAAAATTCAATAGGTGGGTTGAATAGCAGAATAACCACAGCTAAAGTAAGAGGAGAATCAGTCCAGAAATTCTTCCAAGGTAGGCAAAGAGGTGGGAAATAAAAAACAAAAATTAAGAAACACAGAGAATGAATCTAAAGAAATTCCAAAGAATAGAACAGAGAGAAGAGAGAAAAGAGGATATACCAACAAAATAATAGGATAATATTTTACAAATGATAAAACTACTGAGCTTTGCCTAAGTAAGTTCCTATGAGTAGGTGAGTGGTAAAGCAGCACTGGGAACCCAGATCCTATGGCCTTTGGGTCAGCGTTCTTTTCATTCTGCCAGGTTGTCATTGTGTAGATGATGACAATTTACTATTTCTTGATTAGACCATAAATCAACTTTTCATTCTAGCAATATGGAAGAAAAAGTAACCTGACAACTTTCCCACTATAAATACCTTTAAATGCTAGATAAAATATACAAAATACTTTTCTTTAATGCATAGCTGAGCTTTAAGAAAGTAAGATCTCCAGAGGCCAAAGATGAAGAAGTTGTTGACCCTCCAGCTACTGTGCGGGCAGGCAGATGTCACTGGTCTCAATAACCTAGGGTCACATCTGTTCATACCTGCTGGTCTCCCTAGCCTGCTTCACAAGGCAACCAGAAGCTGAGAAGCAAGCATCATGGACAGACAGACAGCTCTAAGAGAAGCCTTCTACTTGATGCTCAAAGAGCCAGAAAGGGGAATCAAAATGCTCAAAGAGAGTGGGGAAATCCCTCATTTCTTTTTTCTTCCTTCTATTCTCTCATATCACAGTTCCAAAACAAGCCCCATGGGAGTCTATAGGAGCTAAAACTCTAAGGGAGGGGAACCTCACTCTTCATTTGAAGGAGCTGAGGGCCTAAGAGAATGGACAAACTCCCATTGCTTTATTTCCTCTGCCCTCATGTCACTTGCCCCAGTTGTGGGCACAGTCACAAAAGTGCCTGACACTGCAGAGTAACTAAAGCACCAGCTCTTTTGCAAGACAACTGGAAAAAGGGAACCCCAAAGAACTGTAAAACCAGGGAAGTCACAGAGAGGGAGGAGCTAGGGAAAGTGACCTATAAAGTTGTTTATGAACTCCTGTGCTCACTCCATGCATAGATCTGACCCTAAACCACATACTGCAGACTTTGAAAACTGAACTACAGGAAAGACAATGGTTCAGATCCCAGGCTGGTATGGGTGGGTGGCATAAACTCAGAATAGCAAAGGCTATGAATTCAAAACTGACATTGAAATCACAGCCCCCACACACAGAAGCCTAGTCAGAACTTGCAGCCTGAAGTTAAACAGGTCAATTTCTGCTAACACAATAATATCAACATTCTCCATAGGATTTAAGTGGCAGCCAGAGTCATATAACTTAATATTCGTAATGTCCATGATACAATACAAAATTACTCAGCATGCAAAGACCCAAAGCAGTAATTATACAAAATGCTCAAAAAAACAACAATGAACACTCTTGAAATAAATACAGGAATAAAAATTTTCAGCAAAGAACAATATATCAAAAAGAAACTTGAGAACTGAGAAATACAAGACTGGGTACATTTATTGACAAAACAGATGTCAGAGGAAAGAATCAGTGAACTTGAAGACAGAGTAATAAAAAGTATCCAGCAAAAAAAAGAAAAAGTGATTGAAAATGAACAAAATCTTGGGACCTATGGGACAATAACAAAAAGCCTAAACATTTGTGCCATCAGATTCTTAAAAGGAGAGGAGAAAGTATAGTGCTGAAAAAACTTGGAAGAAATAATGGCTGAAAACTTTCCAAGTTTGGCGAAAGACATAAACAGAAATTTCAAGAAACTCAGAGAATCCCAACCAGGCGAAGCCCAAAGTATCCATGCCAACACCTTCTAAACTACTTAAAGCTAAAGACACATGTGAGGCAAAATAAAGACATTTCCAGACAAAGACTGAGAGTGTTTCCTATTAACAGACCCTTGAGGAAGAAAACACAAAGGAAGAATAAAATATATATATCCAAAAGGGAAGAGAGACCTGTGAGAAGAAAAGGAAGGCAAGGATGTTTGTCCACATTTATAAATAGAAGGAAGTATTGACTGTACAAAACAATAACAACAATGATGCTGGTAATGATGACATAAAGACCAAATCCAGGGATTTTAAAAGACTGTGGCACTAAAATCTATAATATGGGCGGGTATCATCATAGTTAAATCATTCTTTTTTTTTTAAAGAGTTTATTTATTTATTTGACAGAGAGAGACATAGCGAGAGAGGGAACACAAGCAGGGGAAGTGAGAGAGGGAGAAGCAGACTTCCCACCAAGCAGGGAGCCCAATGCGGGGCTCGATCCCAGGACCCTAGGATCATGACCTGAGCCAAAGACAGATGCTTAACGACTGAGCCACCCAGGCGCCCCAAATCATTCTTTTTTTTTTTTAAGATTTATTTATCTTAAAGAGAGAGAGAGCATGCGAGTGGTAGGGGGAAGAACAGGGGGAGAGGGAGAGAGAGAGAATCTCACGCAGACTCCCCACTGAGCATGGAGCCAGACACAGGACATGATCCCATGATGCTGAGATCATGACCGGAGCTGAAACCAAGAGTTGGACGCTCAATGGATTAAGCCACCCAGGCACCCCAGAATTAAAGCATTCTGTGGTCCTTATATTGTTTGGGTGGAGGATAAAGATATTATCTTTAAGCTTTGTTAAGTATACATGGTGAATTTTAAAACATGTAAAAATGGATGAATCAGGGGGTGCCTGGGCAGCTCAGTCTGTTAAGCATCTGATTCTTGGTTTTGGCTTAGGTCATGATCTCAGGGTCATGAGATCAAGCCTCACATCCGGCTCCACGCTCAGAGGGGAGTCTGCCTGAGATTCTCTCTCTCCCTCTGCCCCTCCCCCACCTCAAATAAATAAATAAAATCTTAAAAAAAAAAAAAAAGATGAATCAGACATTGACCCTGCCATCATGGAGCGTCCAGGCTCACAGAAGAGATGAGACCAATACAAAACTAATTCAAATCCAAAGTTCGAAAATTAAAGAGTTATAGATGCCGGAATAGGGAGGGGCATTGAAAGCATGCATGTCTGCTGTCAAGTCTCTTTTGGCTCTAAGATTCTATGATCTGTAGGGAGGCTAAGACATGGGGTGGATTAGTACTGCTCTGGGCAGTTCAGATTCCTGAGCCTTTGGGTCCTTTCGACAAGATTGCTAGCATTCTGGGGTCCCTGTGTTGTCTGGGAAGAGGGTAGAGTTGTGAGTGGTCTCCCCACTCTTCACTCCAGAACCAATTTCATAGCAGCATGTCACTTTTTTTCCTTCAGTGGCTCCTGGTGAGAGACTAGGCAGATGAGTGTGTGCTAGGTCTGTCTGTAATAGGGAATGCGCTGGGGACAATCCTATGCATGGCTTCAAGTAGCCAAGTCTCCTCTTGGCTGCCCCTCTATGACTTCAGCCTTCCACCATAATCCCATAGCCCTGCCCCAGTACCCTCAGCTCAGTTTCCAGGATTCCTCATCAGCCCCAGCCCATGCTGTTCCCAACTAATCCTAGGGATCCAGGCCCATACATCATTGAGGAGTGGACGCAGTTGCTTGGAAATGCTACAAAAGACCACCTTGGTGTCCTCTCCCTTCCCATGACAGATGATGTTCCGTAGGCTCTTTTTTTTTTTTAAAGATTTTATTTATTTATTTGACAGAGAGAGACACAGCAAGAGAGGGAACACAAGCAGGGGGAGTGGGAGAGGGAGAAGCAGGCTTCCCGCCGAGCAGGGAGCCCGATGTGGGGCTCGATCCCAGGACCCTGGGATCATGACCTGAGCCGAAGGCAGACGTTTAACGACTGAGCCACCTAGGCGCCCCTCCGTAGGCTCTTTACTGCTTGCACTGTCACTCATGCTTCATTCTTCAGGAAGTCTCGCAAGAATGGAACCTGGACCTTCAGAGATTCTGACTGTTTGGAAGAAGGCAGAGATCACTCACCACCTGGGGATCATGCAACACTCTGGGAACAGGGTTTTGGGAAAACAGATGGTGTCTAAGAGAAACAGACATGGGCAATCCGGGAGCTGGATGTGCCTAGGAAGTAGAAGGCTGGTGCTCACGGGGTTTGGGAGGCCTGATGACCAGTCTATGTAAGTCTACAAACCAGATGTTGTGCTGCCCTAGGATGGACGTTGGGAATGTGCTAAACCCAAGATAACTAAGAGACCCAAGGGAGGTAAATTAAATGTTTCAAGGACTCACACTTGATTCCCATTTGGTCCTCCCCACTCTTACTTGTCCTGGGTGCAGTGCCAGGTTACTGATTCCACGAAGCCCAACTTCCTTCATAATGAGGTTGGGCTCTTTGACCCACTTGATCAGATTGCCCAAAAAGTCTTGCCCCAGAGTCTGAGCCACTGATCGGTGCCAGAGGAGCTGTGGGTATGAGGAGACTACACCTATGGATGGAGAAAATGTTATGAGTACCCAGTACCCACCTCAGTCCTCCCTTGGGTCCCAAACTCAGGTAAGGAGTATGTCCAGTTGAGAGCAGTGGCAGATCTGTACACATGGGGTGGAGACTAAGGGGGTTATCCTGATAGGAGGATAGAGGATAATGCTGATAAGGTTTGAATTTTGAGTCAGATGCTAGGATCCATGGATCATTCTGGAGGTTGAGCTACTGGCCCCCTCCTCAGGTTTTCCTGCCTCCTTTAACCAGGCACCTGAAGTGCCAGAGAAGGGAACCCCACTTTAAATGGCTCAGTCTTATTCTTTCCTCTTTTGGGGACTAGTTATTTAACATTTTTGTTAAATGTTCCTCAGCCCAGGAAATGAATGGGTCAGGCTGTGGAACTTTCCCCAGGCTTCACCTGTGCATAGAAGGTCCTGGCCAGGATCTTCCGATGAGAGTTGGAACTATAGAGGAAGTTCCTGACGAGGTTGAGGATGTGGTGCAGGATGGCAGGTTCAGAGTTCTTGACAATGCCACTGGGGTGGGACACAAGAAGCCAACAGTTGCTGCGGGGAAGGTGGCAAGGGACCAGTGTGCATGGAACAGGGAAGACATGAGGGCTGAGGAATCAGGAGACCAGAGGGCTGGGAGGTTGGGAAGGGACAGTTGAAGGCTGGGACTTGGGAAATTGGGGTCCGGGGACTAGAGTGGTGCCAGGGTTATTGGGGAAATAGCCTCACCTTGTCAGGTCCATGATCCCTATGTAGTAAAACTTGGGGCAGGACAGAAGGTCCCAGCAGTGATGCTGATTTTCATAGACCACCACTCCGTCATATGCAGCAGCCAAGAACACCAACTTCACTACCTCCAGGGCACAACTGAAGGTCACCACCATTGGGTTTGTGAACAGAAAGGGACAAAAGGATGGACAAGACATTATGCCCTCATTTGTATCCTGTGCTGGGAAGCCAGGAGACAGTTTCCTGCTCTGGTAGCTGTGTTCTGCTTTCCTGTTGACAAAAATCTATGGCTCTGTGAAACCCATCTCAGATTGCCCATCCACTCCTTCAAACCCTGGCCCTCATTCAACCACAGAGTCCTATAAAGGAGACTCTAGAGAGATCTCAGTGCTGTGGTTTTCCAGTTTTGCTCTCCGGGGCACAGAATGGGGTTAGGATATCTTTTCACCTCCACACCCATCTAATCAGAATGTCTCTGCTTATTGGTTTGATTTGTTTTCATTTTACATAAGATTTCATTTGAGTAGAATGTCCTGAGGTTTAAGAAAAAAGTGTGACAACCACATATTTAGGAGTCCAACCCCCATTTTCAAGATGAGAAAACAGAATCCCAGTTGTGTTGTGCAAGATGGCAGAGCTAGCGACAAAGCCAAGCCAGAGGTCAATGAGATTCGAACGGCCACAACTGCACGGAGCGAATGACGTAGGTGTGGGCTTGCCCTGTCACCTACCATCTAGTTGAATCTCTTCGTGTACAGTTATGAACATGGACATGAAGTGTTGAATGAATCAGCTGAAGCATGCGTACAAGAAGAGAAACGAGAAGCTTGAAAATATGTGAGAATATTCTAGCATATGGGTCGTCCAGGGCCCTCTGGAATGGACTAGTCCCAGCCATCCATCATGAGAGGGTTAAGCTTACCTAGTGGGGTCAAAGGGCTTGCTCTTGCTGCCTGGGCCTCCCTCCTTGCTAAAGACCACCATCTTCTGGGGGACAGTAAGAGCTGGGGATAGAACTCCTGGACGGCCTCCTGGCACAGGGACCCTGACAGCATCTCACACAGAGCACATGTCACCTGGGAGACAGTGGAGGAAGACATAAGATGGTCCCATGGCCCCATCACTGAGTCCCACCCTGCCCTCCCCATCACTGCCCAAAGGGCACAGCTCACTCTGACTCAGGCTTGTAAGAAGCACCCAAAGACTGAAAGCCCACCACTCTTCCTTAGGGAAATGAGATTGCACACATGCAATCTGCTTTCTCTTCACTCCCCTGACATCAAAAACAGAATGGGAAGCAACTCTAACTTTTTAGCAGAAAATTATTTGGGGACTACTTTGTCTACCCCTGGCAACCAAACCTCTTCCGCCTCCAATCCTCATGCCACACACCCCCCAAGCCCTGGAGCGCCATATTTTTTTTAAGATTTATCTATTTATTTTAGAGAAAGAGAAAGCATGAGCTGGAGGAGGGGCAGAGGGAGAGGGAGAGAAAGAGAGAGAATCTCAAGCAGACTCCCCACAGAGCACGCAGCCCAACAGGGGGCTGGATCCCACAACCCTGAGACCAGAACCTGAGCTGAAATCAAAAGTCGGACGCTCAACCAACTGAGCCACCCAGGTGCCCCTCAAATGTACGGTATTAGTGATTGCTCCTCTCTAAGACCTACTCCTACCCTGCGGCCCTTGACCTTCAGCTCTGCCCCTAAGTCCAAGAACAGTAAGTCCTAGGCTCCCCCTGCCCCCATGCTGACCGCCACAGGCTGGAGGCCATCTCCTTAGTTTCCTCCGTGGAGTGGAGTTGTTCCAGGATGCCTATGAGCAGCTGCAGGATGCTGATTGTGGTCTCTCGCTGGGTGCCAAATGCCTTCCACAGGGCCAGATTGGTTCTGCAGGACCCAGGGACAGCTGTGTCATGGGCCTGGGTGACCAAGTTCCTAGGAATAGTCTGGTCTCGGGCCCATGAAGGGCCAGTTCTCAGGGCCTAGACTTGGCCAGAGAACACAGAGATGAAGTTTGAATCATGTCAAAGGGAAAGCATCCATGTGCAGTGATTTTTGGGCTAGGCTCGGGCTGAGGGACGGGAGGGTTTATTGGGCTGGAGAATGGGTTCCCGGGCCATGGGAGAGGTACCTATCCCAAGGCAGAGCCTTGTTGAGAAGCAAGGGCATGACGTTGTGGGTGTTGTTGCCAGCCAGCAAGCACATGGCCCACAGGGTCTCCTCCTTTGTGTTGGGCTCCAGCTGTGAGTTGAGCCGTTCCAGAATCCCCTCCACAATTTCTTCAATCTAGAGGGAAGAGCTACAAGAGTCTCAGTGATTGTTTCCCTGCTTCCTTCCCTCCTCCTCCCTATCTACCAATTCCTAGACTAGACTCAAAGGGCTACTTGCACTCCTGCCAGTGACTCTTCTTAAGGCAGAGTTCTAGCATGCCAGAGGCCAGACCAGCAGGGGTCACAAAAAGAACTCCAGCAGCTCACTGAGGCCCACTATAACAAAGGCCTGCCCACAGCCCAAAGTTCAGAGAGTTGCTCCAAGCTTACTCGGGAGACACATGAGACTCCAGGAAGGAAGGCAAAAACCCTGGAGATACTTCAGGGCTTCCTCTCCCCACTGAAATCAACTTTCGACCCATGAAACTGCAGGGACAGTGGGCATTGGATGTGGGGGTACCACAGGACTCTCATTTGGCCCTCAGATTCCTGATATACGGGCCTCTGGGAAGTCCATTGTATTCTAATACCTCTAGGACACACCTCCATTTCTGGGACTTAGACCAGGCAAGTCACATAAATGAGTGAAGGCACGGGTGTCAGGGGATTCAGAGAGAGGAAGGTCTGGAGAGCCCATGCCACATATAAAAGGGACAGTGGCCACCCAAAGAGTTGCCCTATGTGGCCTCATTTAAAAATTCTTTTCAGTGATAAATGTGGATTTTTATATGTTATCCCGAAAGAAAATTTACTCAAAGGTCAGTCATTCCATGAGTTTGCTGGTTTGCAATCCATAGCCTTACCCTTCACAGAAATCTAAGCCCCCTAACACCCCTGGCAATCAAGGTGAACCCCTCCTACAATGCTTCCTTGTGCTCTAGCTACTAGGCCCTGCAGCTGCTTATCCTCCTGCATGTGGCTGTTGTTAACTGAGGAATCAGCCCCTCAGATAGAAGGCACTGCAGTTCTGAGCTCAGGATTACAGATCTCAGAGCTCAGTGGGACCACAGAGAAAATCTAGCCCAAACCTGCACTTTAGAAGTGAGTGAATTAAGGCCTCTAGAGGAGGGGGACTTCCCAAGACTCTTCAGCTAGTTAGGAACAGAGCCAGGAGAGAGCCCAGGCTCCTGGTGTACAGAGCAGAGCTCCCACCACAGCACCACACTACCTTCATCATGTCTCGGCCCCGCTCTTTCATGACAGCACTCATCAGCTGGGCTGCTGCCAGAGACACCTTGGCCCTGCTGTCGGTTAGGCCCTCCATGGCCATCAGCACCAGGGTGGTGAGCTGCATCTGGGTGAAGTACTCTGCAAATGCCTGCAACAGGGTGGCGTCAGGCTGCCTGCACCTGGGGCCTCCTGCTTGAGCTAGCCTGTACCATCCTTCCTAGTTAGGGTAGGTGGAGAGACCCTCTCTCGGGAATATGATGTGCTTTTGTCCTAGGCCTGTGCTGTCTGCCTAGCTCCTAGAAGACCCTTTCACTGGGAACAGAGTCTTTGGGGATGGGAGGGAGAAAACACTGACCTCAGATGCACTGAGGGGCTCATAGGTCAGAGGCTCAGAGGCAGGGTGCTGGGAGAGAAGGCCTGAGACCGAGATCCTTAGTGACATATCTTTGAGACATGGGCTGAATCTACACATTGCTCACAAGGCATCATTAGCATGAAGAAAATGCGTCTGAGCAGACAGGTAAGAAAGCAGAATTGGGACCCATGATGCTTAAGGGGAAGCATGTGATAGCATGTGGAAAAAGTTCCCCAAGGAAAAAGTTCACATGCAGCAATGGAATGGAAAAGAAGATGGGAAAAAGGAGTCCCACCCCAGGAGTCTATGATATGATGTAGGTGAGAGTCCGAGGCTCTTCCCACTTTGCTCTGGCCCTGCCCTCTCACCTTGGCAATCTCAGAGATGTTGTTATAGAACACGTTGGCACTATAGACTTCAGTCTTGCCCTCTTCTTCCCATAAGCCCTGTTTTTCCCTTCCCATCTCTGAAACAAAGATACCCGACCCCACCCCTCAGACACTTAGAAGGTGTCTTAGGTTGCCCTCTTTCCCATCTGCCCAACCCAAACCACCCACTGAACTAAGTCAGCTTGAGGTAATGTATATCCCATGGGGAAGGGAGTAGAGAAATGGGCAGTAAGATGAGGAATGGTGAGAGATAACATCAAAGGAACCCCCCATGTTGCCTGCCTTAGAGCAGAGACAGAGTGGGGTCAGAGTATAGGACTCAGCCAGAGGAGGAGAAACTAATTCAAAAGAACTGTTTTCTGAGTAGCTATTTTGTCCCAGGAGGGTATATGTAGTAGAGGTCTAGGAGCAGGTTCCTCATTGGAAGTAAAATGCTCAGATAACTTCTTAGCTGTCACTCTTCCAGGACAGTGTGTGGGGGAATGACCAAACCTAGGTGGGAGGCCAGAGCAGAAGTGAAAAGGGGAGATTCTCCTTACGCTTTTGCAGGAGGAGGATACAGTAAATGTTGTAGACAGCCTGTGCAGACAGGAAGCAGATATTGTCCACTGGGTCCTGGCAGCGTATGGCCAGCAGGCTTACCAAACGCCCCAACCAAGTGAACTCGATGTCCATCTGTGGAGGAGAGCTGGAAGTCACAAGTTACCCCAGCCAATATCTTAGGCTGAGTCAAGGCAAGAAGAGAGGAGGAGGAGATGCATGACAGATATGAGAGGTGAGGCTAGATGAGGTTAATGGGAATGGAATTAGACAGGTGAGTTGTAGCTATTAAAAACTTGTGGGATCATAGTTTTAGAATGACCTTACACTGTTCCTCTTCTTTGCCTCTTGACACTGCACTCATTCTTCAAGCCCAGCTCAAATGTCCCCTCCGCTATGAAGCTTTCCCTTCACTTGTACTTCATTTGGTTTTGATCTTTTATTCCTACTATATTTGGTTTTTAGGTTCATTATCACCTCCTATTTAAGTTTGTTCTATGCATGCCTCTCTTCCCAGTGGACTATAAAGATCCATGAAGACAGGAAACTGTCTTGGTCATCTATGTAACCACTGTAATACCTAGCATGGTGCATGGCACAAGGTGAGTATTCAGTAACTGCTTGTTGAGATGAGTGGAATCAAACTGAACCAAGTGAAACAGAATTGAATTGGTGGGTAGGGAAAAAGACTAAGGGAGAAAAGAGAGCTGATGGGATGCACAAGAGAAAATAGAGGATGGGGCCAAGGAAATAGAGGATAGGATGAATAATTGAGGCTAGGTAATATGTGATGAAGTTTGGGGTAAGGGTAGGGATGAGGGCCCAGGCTCCAGGACAGGCTTCCACTCACTCCGAAGTTGTTCATTTTTGCAGTGAAGCCAAGAATACGGGCAGCACACCACATGGCCCGTTCCCTCTCATTGTCCTTCTGGGAATTCAGCCAGGTGTCCAGAAGCTAAAGGAAGAAGAGAATGAGGTGAGGGGTGAGGGTCTGTTCAGCTGCATTCCAGAGGGTAGAAATGTAACCTGAACCTGACTTCTGCAAAGGATCAGGACAAGACTTCTGAGAATAGGACTTCTTTTGCCTACAGGCTGGTTATATATGAGTTTGACAGCAGAAGCCTTCATTCCTCCAACTTTTTTCACAGAAATGGAACAAATAATCCTAAAATTTGTGTGGAACCAGAAAAGACCTTGAATAGCCAGAGGAATGTTGAAAAAGAAAACCAAAGCTGGCGGCATCACAATTCCGGACTTTAGGCTCTATTACAAAGCCGTCATCATCAAGACAGTATGGTACTGGCACAAAAACAGACACATAGATCAATGGAACAGAATAGAGAACTAAGAAATGGAACCTCAACTCTATGGTCAACTCATCTTTGACAAAGCAGGAAAGAATGTCCAATGGAAAAAAGACAGTCTCTTCAACAAATGGTGTTGGGAAAATTGGACAGCCACATTCAGAAGAATGAAACTGGACCATTTCCTTACACCACACACAAAAATAGACTCAAAATGGATGAAAGATCTAAATGTGAGACAGTAATCCATCAAAATCCTTGAAGAGAACACAGGCAGCAACCTCTTCGACCTCAGCTGCAGCAACTTCTTCCTAGAAACATCGCCAAAGACATAGGAAACAAGGCAAAAATGAACTATTTGGACTTCATCAAGATAAAAATGTTTTGCACAGCAAAGGAAAAAGTTAACAAAACCAAAAGACAACCGACAGAATGGGAGAAGATATTTTCAAATGACATATCAGATAAAGGGCTAGTATCCAAAATCTATAAAGAACTTATCAAACTCAACACCCAAAGAACAAATAATCCAATCAAGAATTGGGCAGAAGACATGAATAGACATTTCTTCTGCAAAGAAGACACCCAAATAGTCAACAGACACAAGAAAAAGTGCTCAACATCACTCAGTATCAGGGAAATACAAATCAAGACCACAATGAGATACCACCTCACACCAGTCAGAATGGCTAAAATTAACAAGTCAGGAAACAACAGATGTTGGCGGGGATGCGGAGAAAGGGGAACCCTCCTACACTGCTGGTGGGAATGCAGGCTGGTGCAGCCACTCTGGAAAACAGTATGGCAGTTCCTCAAAAAGTTGAAAATAAGCTACCCTACGACCTAACAATTGCACTACTGGGTATTTACCCCAAAGATACAAATGTAGTAATCCGAAGGGGCACATGCACCCCAATGTTTATAGCAGCAATGTCCACAATAGCCAAACTATGGAAAGAGCCCAGATGTCCATTGACAGATGAATGGATAAAGAAGATGTGGTATATATACACAATGGAATACTATGCAGCCATCAGAAATTGAAATCTTGCCATTTGCAACGATGTGGATGGAACTAGAGGGTATTATGCTAAGGGAAATAAGTCAATCTGAGAAAGACAATTATCATATAATCTCACTGATACGTAGACTTTGAGAAACAAGGCAGAGGATCATAGGGGAAGGGAGGAAAAATTGAAACAAGATGAAACCAGAGATGGAGACAAACCATAAGAGACTCTTAATCTCAGGAAACAAACTGAGGGTTGCTGGAGTGGAGGGGGGTGGGAGGGATGAGGTGGCTGGGTGATGGACGTTGGGGAGGGTATGTGTTATGGTGAGTGCTGTGTATTGTGTAAGACTGATGAATCACAGACCTGTACCCCTGAAACAAATAATACATTTTATGTTAATTTAAAAAAAAGTTCTGAACACCACAAGAAGACAACTAGACATCATGTGCTTCTTGGTGGAAGAAGATAAGACTACTTCTGAAGTAATCTTGCCAAAAATTGATCAGATTCATGATCTAGATCTAATAATTAAAATTAGGATCTAACATAGTCTAGATCTAGCAATTTATAGGGAAGATTTGTACAGAGGAATTTGTTATGTGGCCCCTAAAGGATGTAATCAGCACAATCCAGAATGTGGAAAATGTAGAGAACAAATGTCTAGGTTTCTTCAACAAATAAATTTCAAGGAAAAAATGATGGAAGTGCAATCTATAGATTAAGAGAATTAAGAGACAAACCAATCAATTGGAATGTCTGATTGTTTAATGACATCAAGAAATGAAATTTCTTTCTTTCATCAGTGTTTTATAGTTTTCAGAGTACAAGTCTTTCACTTCATTGGTTGATTCCTAGGTATTTTATTATTTTTGGTGCAATTGTAAATGAGATTGTTTTCTTAATTTCTCTTCCCGCTACTTCATTATTAGTGTATAAAAATGCAACAGATTTCTGAATATTAATTTTGCATCCTGTAACTTTGCCGAATTCATTTATCTGTTCTAGTAGGGTTTTCTTTAATGGAATCTTTAGGGTTTTTTAGGGTTTTCTATATATAGTATCATGTCATCTGCAAATAGTGAAAGCTTTACTTCTTCCTTACCAATTTGAATGCCTTTTACTTATTTTTCCTGTCTAATTGCTGTGGCTAGGACTTCCAATACTATGTTGAATAAATGTGGTAAGAGTAGATATCCTTGTCTTGTTCCTGATCTTAAAGGAAAAGCTCACAGTTTTCCACCATTGAGTATGATGTTAGCTGTGGGTTTTCATATATGGCTTTTATTATGTTGAGGTATGTTCTCTCTAAACCTACTTCATCATGAATGGATGTTGTGCTTTGTCATGTGCTTTTTATGCATCTATTGAGATGATCAGATGTTTTTCATCTTTTCTCTTATAAATGAAATCTTATTATTTGCAATGACATGAATGGAGCTAGAGTATTATGCTAAGTGAAATAAGTCAGTCAGAGAAAGACAAATACCATATGATTTCACTTATATGTGGAGTTCTTTTAATTTTAATTTTTTTATATGTGAAATTTAAAAACAAAACAAATGAACAAAGGAGTGGGGGGAGAGAGGGAGACAAACAAGAAACACACTGATGGTTACCAGAGGGGAGAGGGTGGGTGGATGGGTGACATAGTTGATGGGGATTAAGGAGGGCACTTGCTGTGATGAGCACCAGGGGATGTATGGAATTGTTGAATCACTATATTGTACACCTGAAACTAATATTACACTGTATGTTAAATAACTGAAATTTAAATAAAAACTTTAACAAAAATTGAAATCAGCCTCACAGAAATACTATGTTCTAATCAGAAAAGCACCATTTGGAAATTTCAAAGGAGAGAGACACTGTGGGATATAATAAAAAGGATACTTTGCCTTTCAAACTTATCAATCAAATTGATATTTATTAATCTCTTTGAGTTGCTAAGTACTATAAAATTAGTCTATAGCTATGCTGCATGATTGTGAACAAAAACTCTATGTGGTGGAATGGAGAGGGGAATTTACACTAAAATGAAGTAGACTCATTCTGATTTATATGTAATGTACTAACAATACCAAAATGGAAGAAGCTAAGTGAATGCCAGGTATCCTTAAGCAATTTTATGGCTACTAACAAATGTTTCCATAATACACTTCTCCAAAGTTCCAACAGGGCACATTCTAAGGAATACATCTTGCATGAATGACCTTATTATAGAAATGTGTAATTAGCAAAGTTTAGCAACACCTATGACTGAACCCTGGGGCATGATCTGTACTTTGCAATATGTGAACTCAAATTACTGTTTCTTGTGATATTAATTAGGTAATAAATAAGCAAAATGTTGCTGGGGGGAAGTTTTCTGTCTAAAAAAACATTGAAATAATTAGGTATATTTTATTGCAATAAAAAAATAGTATAAAGGAAAAAGTGGCAGAGGGAATCTTTTGAAAGTAATGGGATTGTTCTGTATCTTCAGTGCGATTATGGTTTTGCCAGGATATAAAACTGTCAAAACTCATCCAATTAAATAGATTCATTTAATTGTATAAAATTATTGCTCAATAAAGTTGATAAGGGGGAAAAAAGACACCAAAAAAATTTTAAAAATAAAAAAACATTGAAACAATAAAAAGTATGTTCTTGGACCATAAAGGAATTAGATCAGAAATCAATAACTATAAGAGAATAGAAAATTCTCCAAACATTTGGAAATTAAACAGCACACTTCTAAATAATCCATTGGCCAAAGAGGAAGTCACAAGAGAAATTAAAAAATATTTTGAACTGAATGATACTGAAAGAACAACATCTTAAAATGTATAGGATGCAGCTCAAGTAGTACTTAGAGGAAAATTTATAAAACTAAATGTTTATATTAAAAAAGAGAAAGGGGTGGATGAAGCGGCTGGTACACAGGACTGCTGCACTGTCTCCACTGTGGGAGGAGGTGTAGGTGGCCTGACCCCTATACTCCAAGCATCTCCTCACTTCCCAATGGCCGTGGTCCTCATTTCCCTTCTTCCCAGAGGTGTATTTTAGAGGATTCCTGGGAAAATGGCTCACCTCATCCTTTGAATACAATTGGATAACCCTCGCATCAGTGTAAACAACCCAGAAAATGACCCAAAGCCTTTCAGAACAAACTCCACAACTAAATGCAGAGAAGAGGCCACATCAAAGAGAGTAGGAAAGGGAGAGATATGGTGGGGAGTTAAACAAACCTGGGGGACTGTCCAATGGAAGGAGGGATTCATGGACAGAGAGGGGAGAGAAACAGACTATCACACCAGAAAGCCCACACAAGGAAGACAAATCCCCATAACGTTTGGCTTTGAAAACCAGAGGGGTCAAATTTCCTCAGTTCTTAAACCAGGAGACTTGAGACCTAGAATTTTAAACATCAGCGGGGCTTGGCTTTGGGAGAGCTGGAAGGGTGCTCTTAAAGAGACAGCACAACAAACAGTCCTGCAGCAGTTTGAAAAATGCCTAGGGTATTTGGGAGGGAGAGTTTACTAATCTCAGAGTATGTCCTAGAAGGACAGAGATTGTTGGGAAGCTCCTCCAGGAACAAAGAAGTGGACAGGTGCCATTTCTCACCCCTGACCCCCAGCATAAACACACAGCCTTCTGCG